TTACGGCCCTCAAGAAGAAGCTCGGTGATGCTCCCATCCTTTTTGCTCCCGACCTCTCGAAGGAGTTCGTTCTTCGTACTGATGCCTCCAATACAAGCCTGGGCGCAGTATTGCTCCAGATGGGAAAGGGCCAGGTGCTGCATCCAGTTGCTTACGCAAGTCGTAATTTATTGCCCCGAGAAACCCACTATTCAACAATAGAACGGGAATGCCTTGCACTTGTTTGGGCAGTGCAAAAATTTCATATTTACCTCTATGGCAAACCTTTTGTCATTCAGTCAGACCACCAACCATTACAGTATTTAAATTCCGCCAAACACGTGAACAACAGAGTGTTGAGGTGGAGTCTCCTTATGCAGGAGTACTCATTCACAGTTCATTACATCAAAGGTTGTGACAATGTTGGAGCCGACTACTTGAGTCGCGCATAACTGCCGTTTAGGTAGCAACGTGGTTCTTAATACTACTAGCCCTCAGTCGTGAATAGTGACTCCTAGTTGCGACATAGCAACCCTACTTGTACGGTAGTTGTCCAACCAAACTGTAAGCAGCCTTCTGTGAACATTCTGCTACTATGTACATGCGACCCCTAAGACAATGCAGTGCAGTGCAGGGACCGTGCAGTGACCGTGCAGTGCAGTGACCATTCGTTCGCCCCGCGCCCTTGTAGTAGAATAGTTGCAAACAACTTTCTCGGAAAAGGGGGTGATGTCATAATATGTGCTGCGCGGGCGCGAAACAGAAACTAAAAAAACGACAATAGTGTGCCGTGCGGTGGCGAAGAGGATGTGATGTGTGCGTGTATGTGCCGGGCGGGGCCTACGAGGAAGACGACAGCTCGTGAGGCGCGGCCTCGAGCGTGCGGGACCCGTGCCTTCGGCAGTGCGCGAGGTACGTCGTTCGAGGCAGGGCTACCTCGTTGGGCGTCTGGCCCATAGGTACGACCCAGGCCACGTCGCGACACTCGTACCAGCCGAGTGGACAGCTCAGCCTCCGCTAGACGACCGGTCTAGGAGAGCTGGCGCCAGGTTCCTGAACCTGTCCTTGTCCCGCTAGTCGTGGAGAGCTGGCGCCGGGTGCCTGAACCTGCCCTTGCGCCGCTGTTCCAGGAGGGCTGGCGTGGGTTTCCGAGGCGGACTACAGGTGCTCAAGGGCACAACTCCCTGCCGCCGGAACACGTGGGTCGTCGGCTCCAGTTCGTCGACAGTGGCGCTGAGCCACTGGAGTTCGACGCGGCGACCCTGCGTCTCCCGACTTCGTCACTGCAGGTGACGACGCCGCCCAACGTCGACTTCGCCACTGAATGCTGCCGACGGGGCATCAACGACGGCCCAGGCTACTACCCCGACGACCTGAACTGTAGGCCGAACGTTCTACTTATTCATTTAGTTTAGCCGCGTGTTTTTGTGTTAGGAACTTCGTAATGTGTGGGTTGTCCATGTGTGAAGGGTACAACAGAAGTTGGACGTGTGTTTGTGCACTGGCGTGCTGTCTGATTCTTTCTGGAGCGGTCCTGCCCCAATAACATCACAGTTGTAGCACCGAAAGGCGGGCGAGTTGGAACTTATCCATAGTGGGCAGCGCACAAAAGGAAACACACAAGAGAAGGAATCAGGACAAGCGCTGGTCTAACAACTGAAAGTTTTATTTGAAAGAAAGCATAAATATACATGTGTACACAGAAAATCAAGTGCTACGCAAGATTACTTCCGATCAATGAAACCAATCTCCTGTTCAGATAAAGAAACAGATGGCTGGCTAACGCAAATGCCAACACTCTTCGCCATGTGGTAAGCCTCAGCAATCTCACAAGATTGCTGAGGCTTACCACATGTGGCAAGATTCATAGACGCGTTAAGGGAATTACGAGGGCGGTTGATAACACTTGTTCAATCAAGCACGTTAAGAAGTATACCGCATGTTCGACCGGGGTAGTCTATAAAATTCCTTGCTCGTGCGGGAGTGTCTGCATAGGACAGACCGGTAGATGTATTAATATTAGGCTACGGGAGCATGAAAATTCTTTAAAGGGTGGGGTTTCTGTCTCACCTCGCCAGCCATTGCCGCGATTGCGGTTGTATTCCTTCTTTTGAGCAAACCGCAATCATCGACCGCCATCATAATCAAAGGACACGTGAGATTGCTGAGGCTTACCACATGGCGAAGAGTGTTGGCATTTGCGTTAGCCAGCCATCTGTTTCTTTATCTGAACAGGAGATTGGTTTCATTGATCGGAAGTAATCTTGCGTAGCACTTGATTTTCTGTGTACACATGTATATTTATGCTTTCTTTCAAATAAAACTTTCAGTTGTTAGACCAGCGCTTGTCCTGATTCCTTCTCTTGTGTGTTTCCTTTTGTGCGCTGCCCACTATGGATAAGTTCCAACTCGCCCGCCTTTCGGTGCTACAACAGTTTATTGCTAGTTCTTCGGGCTCTCTTTTGTGTCAATACGTCAATTTCATGGACGCATCTGCCATTTCTTCAGTCATCGCCGTTTGCATCTGCCGTGCACGGACTGCTTCGTGGTATGCCAGGATCTCACAGTGTCCCCCGGATCTTCAGGGGCTGTGCGGTTGGCTACAGCCGTCCCCCAGTCATGTTAGGAGAGTGTGCCGACTTCTGCGCTCGGAGTGGTGGCGGCAGGCGCGGTTCTTCAGAAGCTGTTTGCGGGTATGCTGTGGTGCTGAAGGCGACGACCGTCGGAAGTGGCGACTCTACGCTGATTGGTGCTCGGCCACGGACGCGGCGACTGAGTACCTTTGGAGGGCTGTGCTGGTGACGCTACCACCACGACCGAAGGCGAAAAAAGGTACAGGTCGGGTTGTGCTTCTTGGAGGTGCCCACATTGAAGAATATGACCAGGAATTTCTGGGGCTTGGTCCCAAATTTGCCTTTGAACCAAAGCTCACCGCCACGGAAAAATTGGCAATGACTCATTCCGTTGCTAACCAGGTTTCTGAGCCTAACCGATCCTTTTGTTTGAAACAGTGTATTGATGTGGTTTCCAAGTGCAGTACGAGATTCAGTCGAGATGGCCAGTCGCGACGCTTAGTAAACTCTTTTGCCGCAAGTGATTTGCGGCTTTTGGTGTCAGATAAGGAAGGATCCTTCGTCGTGATGCCCGCGGGCATGTTTCAGGATAAGGCTGTTCAAGCAATGCAAAAAAACTTCAAACCAGTCACTTGTAAGCCGGCTTCTGTTAAGAAGAAGGCATTGGCATTATTGTCAGACCTAAAGCTTGAACGACTGAGGTCCTTGGCGAAGAATTCAAAAAGCCTGGAGTTGCAGGTGTTCTTCTCCGCCAAGACGCATAAACCCGATGTACCCTTTCGGGCAATTGTGTCGGAGCGTGGCTCGTGGCAACACGTTGTCTCGGGCTACTTGCAAACCCACCTCAGCTCGTTGAATTTAGTGGATCCATTCTTGGTTAGGAATTCACTACAGGTTGTTGATTTCTTGGGTAATCAGAACCTTTGGGAAAAAAAGTCTGCCTTCAGTGTCGATGTTCAGGACCTGTTCTACTCACTGCCGCATAATTTTCTGTTACTATGTGTTAAGGAAACTATCACTGAACTAAATGAAGAAACGCGGTTTGTTGACAAATGTGGTATTTCTGTTCAAAGTTTCCTTGAACTTCTTCGTTTTTATCTTGATTCTACTTTTGTTTCTTGGCAAGGGGATTTGTTTGTCCAGGCCTCAGGTGTATGCATAGGTTCCAGAGTTGCCCCGGTCCTAAGTGACATATTGTTGAGTAGAATTGATCGCGATCTAGAAAGAGATTTTGAGGGTTGGGGGACTCGTATATTTAGGTATGTGGATGATTACTTGGTTTTTTTGGATAGTGTTAGTAGCTTACATGATAAGGTGAACATTCTCAAGGCATTTAGGGAAAGGGGGCAGGGTCTTCAGTTTACGTGTGAAGTTCCCAATGAAAAGAATGAGCTTCAGTTCCTTGACCTAACATTGCGATTCCAGGATGCGCATGTCTGTTGGTTATACGCTCCCAGGTCGGCTAAACCCCTCCTAAACTTTAAATCTGCTCATTCTAAACTGGTAAAAAATGGTATAGTCACTTCATGCCTTCACGCAGCTGTCGCAAAATCTTGTTTCCATGCCACAGAGGAAAGCTTTCGTAATCAGTGTGATCGGCTTAAGACAGCGGGTTTTCCCACCGCCTTTCTCGTTTCTGCTTCCGAGCGTTTGCTAAAGAAAGTAAATAGTAACGCGCAGCCCACCAACCAACCAGCAACCTCTCAACGCGAGCAAAAGCGTTTTGCAGTGATTCCCTATGTACATTCCATTTCACATAGATTAAAGAAAGTTGGGGGGCAGTATGGGGTTGACGTTGTTTTTTCAAGTGGGAATAAATTGGGTAGCTTATGTGGCAAGATTCATAGACGCGTTAAGGGAATTACGAGGGCGGTTGATAACACTTGTTCAATCAAGCACGTTAAGAAGTATACCGCATGTTCGACCGGGGTAGTCTATAAAATTCCTTGCTCGTGCGGGAGTGTCTGCATAGGACAGACCGGTAGATGTATTAATATTAGGCTACGGGAGCATGAAAATTCTTTAAAGGGTGGGGTTCTGTCTCACCTCGCCAGCCATTGCCGCGATTGCGGTTGTATTCCTTCTTTTGAGCAAACCGCAATCATCGACCGCCATCATAATCAAAGGACACGTGAGATTGCTGAGGCTTACCACATGGCGAAGAGTGTTGGCATTTGCGTTAGCCAGCCATCTGTTTCTTTATCTGAACAGGAGATTGGTTTCATTGATCGGAAGTAATCTTGCGTAGCACTTGATTTTCTGTGTACACATGTATATTTATGCTTTCTTTCAAATAAAACTTTCAGTTGTTAGACCAGCGCTTGTCCTGATTCCTTCTCTTGTGTGTTTCCTTTTGTGCGCTGCCCACTATGAACATCACAGTGCCTATACCCCTGATTACAAACATGGAACACTTTCGCAGGCAATAGGGTCAAGTTGCCAACTCACGCGCAATCATGTGCAGTGGTTCGGCCATGATCTTGTGGCTCACGTAACGGACGACGGTGACAATTGAGTGACCGAAACTTTCAGGGGCTCTGCAGTCGACGCCGAACGAGACGTGCCCGACCACGAGCATGGAAAGCTGCTTGTATGTGTTCACCATGTTCACCTCGCAACCTGAACAGGCCGGATCCTTCATAGATGCAAGAAGGCCGTCGATGTATTCGTCAACGAGAGGCATCATCTGCGGAATCATGAATGACAGGGGTCAAAAGAGACACCCCAGCTTATGACACGCGTGAATGTCGCTGTACGTGTAAAAAAAAAAAACAGAGAACCAAACTCCCGAAAGCTCACGTGAAAGTGAGTCGGATGGGTCACTTCTCCCTGACAACAAGTTCTATTTCGCACATTCGATTTCTCTTGTTTTTTATTGAAAATACGGTGCTAATGTTTACACTGGAGCTCACTTATCAGTAAGCCTATGGACACTTAATAAAGAGAGACATAAAAAGAAAAAAAGAAAAGACAGGTAAGTCAATCTGAATTATAACGCCTGATTTCCTACTCTGCAGTAGAGCGAGGGTAAAGGGGAATGAAATGCGCAAGGACGTGCAGAACTCCTTAATCCGCTCTTTGGAAGTTCTAAAGAGCGGTTTATTTATCCAAGGATTTTCTGCGAGCCGTGAAGTGCTACGCCGGAGGTTCATGGTCCCCCAATGACGAGGGTCAACCGCCGACACTGGTCAAATAAATAGTGCTGCTTACGCGACGACAGGCCGAACCTTGCGTTTTCTTTGAATCGTAAGATGGTGCCACGACGTAATACTTGACCCTTCTCTTTAGCCGGGGCTCCCGCTGTTGTTGAGCTCTATATATAGTGCCTATACTTAAGAATACATAGAGTTTCGTACAATAATACCTAGAGCATAGTTTAGCACAGCGATTGTGTACCCTCATGGCAATTAGGAGAAGTACAGGCTTCGGATTGAATTCCGTTCAGCTAGCAAACTATCTACAGATTCTTTTCTGCATTTTCAGTTTCCTTCTTTCGCAGTGTGGCTAGTCTGGTGCGGTGCAAAACACTGAAGCAGAGTTTGTTGTTCCAAAAGGCTGAACCACATCTACGTTTGAGATTTGATGCGGCTTCAGAGCTTCACGAGTCATATTTGACAGTTCAAGCGAAGCGTCGTCCTCTCACCGCTGCGCACAGCTGTAGCGTCCCGTGCCAGTGCAGAATATTACATCGAGTACGTGTTTTTTTTTTTTTGTAAGCGCGTCTTGCCCAAACTCGTTTAAATCGACTGCATAACAACAACGAAGCTATGTAGACGCACCGTCACGCTCCTCTGACTCGACTTCACAATAAAACGAGAGGTGCGTTGGTGGCACATCACTTGGACAGACGCGCCTACGAGGAAAAACAACAATGTTTGTTTTCAAATGTTGTAAAAGTCATTCATGATATCTTGATGTCAAATCTAGAACGCAGTGACAGCAATGCATACCCTGGTGGTAAATTTGTCCAGGTTTCACTTCTCCCACATAGCCACAAAATCTTTTTGCAGTGAAACTTGCGTGCAAAAGAATGAAGCAAGTTTAATTTAAATATAACTTCTTATCGCTTTGTTTTACACTCGGCAAACAAGCGTCGTGAATCGCAATAATGCAATACATCCGAAGCAGATTCGAAAGCCTGTACTTCCCACAATTGACCATGGGCGTACAAGCACCGCTGAAGGAGCCCTGCGTAGACACCTGTAGCGGTCAGATTCCACTCCAGGTGTTATTGTAAGAAACTCTATGTCAGGATATGAAAACACGTAACAGTCGAGAATCATGCCTTTGTCTGTCAACCTTTCTCCTCACTAAAACGAAAACCGAATTTCGGCGGAGTCCACCTGACCATGACTGTCTATGTTAGCGCGATATTAATTCAACTAATTTAGGGTCATCCGTATTGCTGAGCACACTTTCTTTCTTTTTTTACAATCTGTGCAAGTCGTTCTGATTTCTGCAGCTTCGGATCCGTCACTATCTAGCTCCAGCAGCTGATGAAACTCTGTCACCTGTCATGTGCTATATTTGCAAGAAAACTTGGTTACCATCTTGTATATAGTTGTGGCTCACATAATAGCGAGAACTATTGGTACAGCTGTTATATGTTGTGCGAGTTTTCGGGCATTGAGAATATACAAATTAAGCCAAGAATGCTTAGAGGGAGGCTAACCAGGTGTTTCATAACTGGTTTCAGAACATCTGATTCAAAAAAACTAATATAAGTATGCGCTCATTTCTCCTGTGGAATACCTTATTTTTATTGTGATCTTTTTTATGGGTAGTTTGCTGCCGCACAACAAAATAGCGAAGCTCTGGCGCAGTGCAGAGAGCAAAACTGTATGATTCATCAAAACTCTAAACGCTGTAGTAGTCTGCAGAAAATCTTGTTTCATTTCATTTTTATTACTTAAAGACCCCATGGGTATTACATAAGGGGTTGATGCATACATGAAAAACAAAAGGCAACGTTTCAATACACTGTAAAGTGATCTGTTAAAGTGGTCGAAATTGCTGAAGGACAGGTAATAGCTGTGATGTCATTGAAAAAGCCGTTCCAGTCGGTTCGCTGCACACAAAAAAAAATGAAGACCAAAAAGTGACGGTGCTGGGCACGTATGGGCTGAGCAACTTGTTGCGGGTGACCGGTGCGACTGGAGATGCTGTGTCGGGGGGAGAATGTACTGGTGGCTTACCGAGGGAGCTAGAAAAAAACTTGTAAAAAAGACAAATGCTAGCAGTATGGTGACGAGATGCGAGTAATGATAAACTGGATTCTTTTTTCAGTGCCGATATGCTAATGTCATATGAGTACTGAGAGTGAATAAACCTGTTCTTGTATTTAGGACATCTGTGAGCTATGACTACTGATAGTTCTAGCACATAAAGCTAACTTGATTGCGTTATGTGATTGTACACACCAACTTCAACTTTGCTGGACTGAATGCGCCAGCCAGGGCTTTTCGTGTGCTCCTCCACTTGGAACCGTCGACGTGTATGATGGACTCGCACATAAGCGGATGCAGTTTTTCTATCATCATTGTTCCCTGTGAATAAAAATATAAGAATATATTTATCAAACGTCAATTTATACAATAACAAAATGTAGGCACTAATTTATGTATATATAAGTACACTCGGAAAAGTACAGATCCTGGAAGCTCGTGGCATAGGCTGTGCCTCGAGGAGTAGGCCAAAAACTTTGCAATTTGTTTTTAAAAGCCTTAATGTATGAGATACTGACTCCTAGTTAAAGAGTAAGGAAAATAAAACTCAAAAATATTTGGAGCTAATATGGTGATCAAAAGAGACAGGATCCATAAAATAAATCATGAAACAAAAAATATTGAAACGGAATTACATAATTTGGCATATAGCAATGTAAAGAGTAAAATGTGGATTTATAGTTCACCGTGGTGGTTTAATTACTGTCGGCCCGTGTGCTCTAATTCGTGTGCACGCTAAAAAAACCACAGGGGGTCAAAATTTCTGGAGCCTTCCACTGAAGCCTCTCTCATAATCATATGGCGGTTTTAGGACGTTAAACCCCAACAATTAAATTATATAAAGCTGGCTGGCCTCGTACGACCAAGTCGGCGCCTTGATCAGCTCGGACCCCTGAAGAAAAGCTGTGCCGCGTCTACTTCCACCTAAAAGACTGCGCGAAGACGTGGTTCGAGAACTGGGTGCTCACGCTAAATATCTTTCAGACGACTTTCCTGAGCACGTTCACGACTGTTGTCCACAAGATCTGAAACGTGTCAATACTATCTTGGACACGCGTGCGCAACTACCCAACGAAAACTTGACCATTTTGTAGAAAAGTTAACCCGGCTGTTCCATCACGCTGAGCCCGCCATGACCGAGGAGCAGAAACTCCTTTATCTGTTTGCGGGACTTGTCCGCAACCCGCCCAACACGGCATGTAAATTGGTTACCGATGCCAAGACTATCGAAAAGCCGTTTAAAATGCGCACGACGCAGTACAACCACCGCTGATCATTAAATTACACCGAAGCCCATGCCCCCCGCACCGACGACTGTTCAGCTCGGGAGCCGAGAAACGAGGCGGACTACTGGCAAGCGGAAACCAAAAGAACTTCATTCCCTTTCCCCAAATCCCATATATACACTCAGTGGACAACATTGCCTCCTTGTGGCCACAAGCTACAAGGAACACTGGCAGCATCCTCTACAGCGACCTGCAAGAGACCATCAGAGTGATCGTGCGGGAGGAGCTGAGCAAGCTATTGCCGTCGCTGAAGCCTCAAGTTAATTCGATCACCGACATTGTCCGTGAGGAGATACGACAATTGCTCAGAACCCCTGACACACCAAAATCAGGAAGCGGAAGCTATGAGCTACGCCGCTGCAGTCTACTGCAACGCTCCTCCAGAGCCGCGTCAGGACGCAGGCCCCACCGCAGTTTCGCCGCCAGACTCCACCCACACCACCGCCGAAGCCATACCGCCCACCTGCCAGGCCAGCGTTGGAAACACTGACTTCTGATGGAGCCCCTAGCCACCGCCTATTATGCTACCACTGCGGTGAAGCCGGGCACACGTACCGCCGCTGCTAGTACCAGCCACAATGGGGCATCGTGGTTTCGGCATTGACGCACCACTGTCCTCAGCGGGGGTGAAAGACCACTGCGCAATCACCGACTACCTCGCAGCAACACAGTAGACGCCGCGAGGATCTCTCCGTTCACCATCATCCGGTCGCTACATGTCACCTCACCGCCGGTCCATTTGCTGGTCCTACTGGGGACCGGTCTCTTAGCCCGTATTCGGTAAACTAAAGGCAGCAACCGATGGAGGCGTGGTTGCTGTACGACGAACTACCGAAGATTCTCCTCCGTCGATAGATACACCACGACAAAAACTCAAGAAGCCGCCGTAACCTGAACATAGCCCTGATGTCGAAACTTTAAGTACCGAAGACGACCTGACGATGCAACGTAGAAAGAATGTAGCGAGCCGACGTAGCCGTGATCGAACGCCATTATTCAAACGCAACGCAGAACCATGAACAAGTGACCTCGACATTCTAATCGATGGCCACAACTTCACCGCTCTCGTCGACACTATAAAACGACTCTTTCACCAACACTGGGACGTTCACCGCCAAGCTGAAAAAAATAAGACGCTTGAAATGCACCCGAGGTCCCCACAGGTGAAGGCCACCTGATAAAGTCAGTTGTAGTTGGCACATCAATAGTCACTATCAATAACCAAACATATCCTGCGAGCTTTGTAGTTCTACAACAATGCTCCTGGAACGCGATACTTAAGATGAGCTTCGTAAGTCACCATTGCGCCATCATTGAACGAAAGTCTGAGTCAATAACTCTATCCAGAGAAAAAACACTGCCGCCGCACACGCCATCAGGAAGGCACACCTTGAATGTGCTGGAATACCAAGTCACCATTCCTCCTCGCCCTCGGGTCAGCATTACCATCGGAACTCAAGAATCAACAGACATGGAAGGCGGAAGTCGTTGAAGGCGACCAGAACCTGTTGACCAACCGCGAAATTGGCGTCGCCAGAGGAAAGGCTGAGCTGCGAGGAGAGAACGCAATAGTGGTGCTAATGAACTTCATCAACGAGTACAAGCACGTGAGCTAAGGCAGAATGGTTGCTTACAATAAAGAAATACTTCAAGCCAGCAACGCTTTCATCCTCACCAATTTTGCCGAATCTACACCGACGTCTCAAGCCCTTCAATTAGCTTTCGACGTTAATCTGATACTTCTAACGCATAAAAAAGAACAGCTTAGAAACCTGCTCCTCAAATACAAGAACTGCTTTTCGTCGTCGTCAAGAATTAGACAGACCCCTGTCACAAATCATCGCATCCTCCTAACAGAATATATATATATATATATATATATATATATATATATATATATATATATATATATATATATATATATATATATATATATATATATATGTGCGTGTGTGTGTGTGTGTGTGTGTGTGTGTGAAAACTGTTTCATTCATGCTATATGCCATTGCACAAGATGATCCTTTTGTGTCAGCAGCCCCCTTTTGTAAACGGTCGTCATCTCGGTAAAAGAGGCTGAACAGTTGCGGCAGGCACCAACAGCCCGTCAGCGCTTCTTATGTGCAATCATTATTGCATTACAATACAAGAGATCTTCTGAAGTGCTACACTGGTCAGCGATAAATAAATGAGGTGCCGCGGCCTTGATTTTCGCATTCAGTTTCATGCATATCTGCGTTTTCTATACTCATTATCGCATATGACAACGCTATTACAGGAGGAAAACATGTTAAATACTCACTCCTCGCCCCGTGAAATTCGAGAAGCTTCGTACGCACACCTCCTCAATCAGATCAAGGTCCTGAGTCACGATGAAGGGCACGTCCCCGTCGTAAAAACTGCGATTAGGTACGCAGTTCTTACAATACTGAACGGCACAAATGATGTACTGGTGTAAAAGAAGAGTCAATCAAGCTTAGGAATGTAAGGCGAGCACTACACAGAATCGAAGGATGGGCATTTAATACCAACTTACAGCTGATTGACAACTCACACAACTTACAATTCATCGACTAAGCAAGTCGAGGTAACTGAATGGTTGTCTCATAAGAGGACGCGCTTTAGCATGTTCTCTTCGTAGCATGTGCTGAAGGGGAACGGGGTGTCAATACTAGAGCGATATAGTTTTGCTTTTTTTGGTACAAACTGAAAAAAAATACATGTTTGCTTGCGTTTCACCTTCGAGCGCCTCGAGTGTCATTTGCCTCTTATTCGTGAAAGGAGCCCTGCAACTCTTTTGTAACCTTGTCATAAAACACACTCGATCGGTAGTCAAGGCTCCTGAAATAATATGAGCCGGACATTACAGCGCAGCACGCAGCCTGCGATTCACAATTAATTCTCGAAGGCAGCCGGAATTTATTCCCTCTTGTGTCGACGAATGATGCCGTAAACTCAAATGACACCACCGTGAACACGAAGTCATTGGCAATTGGATGGTTTGAGTATCGTGAGCTGCATAGTTGTCTATACCATCGCGAGATGCCACCCGCTATGTGAATCTGAACGCGCGCTTGCGCTCACACTGAGAGAGTAAGGAGTGTGTTCGAAGAAAAAAAAAGTGCTCAAATGTCATGACGTGCACTGAAAAGCAGGCGTAGCTTCTTGCCCCGCTTATCAACCCCCCCTCCCCCTCCAGAGTAGCTTTTGATTCGCTAACGGTTGCAAACGGAGCGAGAAAACGTTGACCGGGACTGGTCATTTCATGAAGCTCTTCTCGCAGTTGACTAAAAACTACAAAAGGTTTTGCGGCCGTTTATTTGTTTGGCAATAAAGTTCATTAATGAATCCATTTCATCGTTACTTGGAAAAGTAATGCGGGGCTCCTCTTAATTAAAGTGGCCTGCATAGGCCCGAAATGTTTTATTCACTCAAAATGTATTTTCCATGGTGGTCAACTGGTTATGGTGCCGGACTGCTGACCCGCAGGTTACGGGACGTAACCCGGCTGCTGTGACCGCACTTTCGATGTTCGCCAAAATACTTGAGGATCATGAGCTTAGATTTAGGTTCACGTTAAAGGGCACTAAAGGCAACTATTAAGTCGACGTTGGTTGTTGAAGTAGCGGTCCAGAAACCTCGTGGTGTTATTTTTGTTCCAAAAGAAGTGCTTATTCTCAAACAAAATCACGTTTTAGGGGTCCACATCGGGTTAGCGCACTTCAAGTTACCCGCTGAACCATCTCTCGTCACTGCCGCTGAGCACAACGTTGCCCGGATTTATAGCACGGCCGGCGACACTAGGAGCAGCAGAGCAAAAGCAGCAAAAGCAGCGGGAGCCGCGGCAGAAACAACGGCTGCCATTGGCTCCGAGATGGCAGACGTGTTTGTTTCAACTGGGTGCCGCTAGATGACACGACCTGTCCAGTTTAACCATGCGAAAATTGGATTTTCGAATCACTCGCGCAATTTCCCCTTCACGCCATTCACTCGCGCCATTCACTCGCGGAATCACTTGCGCCATTCCCCATAATAACGTCCGGTGGTTGTTTTTTTTTTCTTTTTTGTTATTCAAGCAGAAACATACAAGCACTATTTTATTGCGTCTCTTGGTGCACGAAATGTTCCTTTAGTGCAGCCACTTCTAATACTAGTGACTGATTTTAGGCGGACCATCTGGCACCATTAGGATCATTTTGAGAATGTCCTGCTGTGGCGCATGTGTCTTGTGCATTTACCTTAATTTATCAATAAGTAGGGTGCTACTGCTGATAATATGGTCTTTTTAGAGGTGGTCGTACGCTTTAGAGGTGGTCGTACGTAAGTAAGCTTTCACTTTCACGTAAATTGTTCTTTGACTTTAGTGTCCTTTTAAGAAAACCAGGTTGTCAAGTTTTCCGGGGCCCTTCACTACGGCGTTTGTATAATTAAATGGTGGTTTGGGGACGTTCTAATCTAACAATTACGTATACAATCGCTCAAACTATCCTGTAAAAACACTTTACAATTAATAATTCTGCGTTTACTTTTCTACTTTCGTGCTTGCGGAGATAAACGGATACTACCAGGCCACCATGCTTGAGCAGCGGGCGAAGATTAACACTTCATGCACATTTACTTACTCAACTTCTAAGCGCCCTTCAAATCACTGACTGTGGCTTACCCAAAGGTGTCGCCGTATTTTTTTATCCATTTGCCAATAATCCTGTATACGTCCTGTGAAAGAATGCAATGAAAACATAAATTAATATTCTCAACTGAATCATCTCACAAAAGCCTGAACATGCGAGTATACTCAGGCCGAAAATCAAGAACTCGACGAAGTGTACTAAGTAGTAGGGTAATGATTCCACATTTTTATTAAATGTGTACGGTAGCGAACTTTACAACCGAATCTTATACCAGCACAAATTGTATACACTTCGAATAGCTTCCGAATAGTACGAAAGCCATTTTCAATTTATTCAAATAATGGCGTATTAACCTTTCTTTTAAACAGCCCAAGATATTCACATTTTTTTCGAAAGAAATCTTCTCAAGCTGTAACAAAATAACATTATTACGATTAATTTTAACGAAATGAAATACCACAATTATTCGGCCGCATACGTCATTAACTATACCATTCGAAATGTTTTGTAACTGCACTCTGCAATACAACAGAGACTACAGCATTGCAAATGTTGCCTCGCTAGCTGCTTTGAAATAAAAAAAACTGATGCTATAATACAAAGCAAGCTTTATGAATTAGATTGTCTTGAATGCTATAGTAGAACACTGGTGTGATGCGATCTCATGTCACGTCATGTGGTGGATTGTCGCGTTGGTGACACTGGAGTTTTAAGCAAAAACGCCTTTATACTGTGGTCAACTTTGCGTCGAAAGTCCCTTAAGTCAGCAAGTTTAACATGAAAGCTCTGGAGCGCGACCTGAACTACAGTGACTGATACCAGCGGCGAAGCGCTGGGCGCTGTTGCCGAGATAGTACCTCAGTATGCTTGGATAGTCCGTCGGCATGCAAGGGCAACATCTCGACAACAGAACTCACGCAGCTCTAGTGTCAATCAAACTGTTTCAGGGCACGCTGTGGAGCGTCCGTGGTAAGCTTACGAACGACTGCCCATGAGCTCCATGCATGCGGGTAATTCAGCGATGAAAATAAGAAAAACTACCCTTCGCTGCTCCAATATGTCGTTCATTCGAGGGTTTTTTGTCGTGGCTTATTATTCGAAAAATATTCGTTTTTTTTTAATATGCAGTATTAGATTCGTCATTCAAAATTTTCGAATATTCGCCCAAGCCCATTTTTTATCATCGTGCCATTCTGATTTGTACTCGCTTTGAGCATTTGATATGGCTATAATGCTGACGGCTCGCTAATGGGACTCGGCTTCTAAACACCTCAGTCTCTAGGATAAGCAATTTTGTATGAGTACTCACACATACCTTACCGAAATAAGACTATAGAAAACACGTAAATTTGTCCTGCTGGCAGATAAGCTCAACTTAAAGCACATATAAATTGCAAGTCTGCGGTTAATTGCACCGCGTGGCTGAACTATTCAGGGCTCGTTTATAACTGTAAGCCTTGAAAAAAGTAAATATGCACACAAAATGTATAAAATTACTTCATGCTTTGAGTTATCATCACGGTCGCTCACCAAGCTAGTGCGCTTCACATATTTTGCGCACCTACTGCTGGATAAAATCGCATACAAAAACAAGTACGAGCAACAACACATTGTTGTATATGCCTACACTGTTTCAAACTTCGATTGCTTGGAAGCATAAAACGATAGTTAGTATTTAAATTTCGCTCGAGGATTTTTCTAAGAGCCTAATAATTCATCACTACACCCTGAGTGATGCTTTTCTAGAATTTCAATAGCAATAATTTAAAAAGTTTTATAAGCTAAAACACTATATGATGAAGAGGCATTTCATATAGCAGAAGTTTCTGGAGACTCAACATCACGTCATCTAGCAAGCCGCAGTCACAAACTTTAGTCCCGCAAGGGCCGGGAAAATGAATAGGGGGAACCTAACTACGCCCTATGAAAGAATTCCTTCTCCGTATGCCCTACATGAATCATTATTATAAGTCAGCCTTCGAAAAACATACCGGTATTGATTTCTACTATGACTAAAATCCAGACGCCGATTCTTAAATATAACGTTTTCGTTCCATGGAGATGTTTTTACTTCATTGAATTGAAATTCTTGCCCCGTCATTTATTTCACTCATAATACCACGTTTATACATTTATTTATCAAATACTTCAGACACTTAGTTCAAGCAGGGAGGGCAAATATGATGGTACAACAGTGGACACGATCAAAACAAAAAGAATAAAGGAAACAAAAACACTACTACAAAAATACAGTCAATACGTTCGGCGAAACGCTGTACAAACAAATAATATTATTCAGCATTTTGGTGTAAGTTCGATTACACAATTCCATTCAGTTATTATACGAGGGAAAAGAGACTTCTTCAATGTGTTCGTTCTCGCTAAGTAGGGTGTTAATGCATCTTGTCTACGGTGACAAGTGGTTTGGGTTATTAGGGGCGACATATACAGAAGTGAGCACAGTAGTGAATTGTTCGTGTAAACTAGTTTGACAAAATTCCAATCTGTGCTTCTGTCTTCTCATATCGAGTGATTCAATGCGGTTAGCATTCATAAGTGCTATGGGTGAATCCTGTCTTGCGAATTTGTTAAATATAAATCTAACTACCTTTCGCTGCACTCTCTCGAGGTTATTGATATTATTTTTCGTATACGAATCCTAAACGATACATGTATATTCTAGTTTGGTTCTGATTAAGGCGGTATAGGTGTTATAGCAGTTGTTATAGGTGTTATAGCATAGGGTGCTTCACGTGAAAAAATGTGCTTGAGACCAGTGCCATCTCTGTAGCTTAGCCAAAACAAAGCGCTATTAATTTCAAAAGGCGAGAAAATAATGCGATTGCTGTTTAGAAAAGTCAATGACGTTTATTCCGTGTGAACGTCCGCGCGCTGCCCGTTTCGGACCGCTGCTGTGGAGGTAAAGGTGGTAAAAAACATTTATTTCAGAAAACGTCTACTAGAGAGTGCCGACGTGGCCCATCGGCGTGCTAGAGTGGCAAGACCCTATTCCGGGACGCCAGTGGAGCTGGAAGCTGCCCGCGCGCGCTCCACCAAGGAGCGTTGTGCAGCCAAGGTAGAGAAGCCGAGCAGGTGCTCCTCCCAAGCCTCTCTAGTTGGGATAGGAAAAGGGGATGAGAAAGGGACGGGATTAACTGGGCACGATGCTACGACGTGATATGTGTCGGCGAGGACATGACAGGTCGAGCAGGTGCCATTGATTTCCGGCAAAAAGTGCCTGGCGACCGCCGGACTGATAAAGGTGTTCGTCTGCAGGGGGCGTAGCAGTCGTTCGTCCGCTTTCTCCAAACCGCGTGCGGGGTCCAGGTAGAGGCGGCGCGAAGCCCGGTAATAAGCCAAAATTTCGCGAAAGCGCGTCAGGTTGGTATTGCCAGATTCCGTCTCGGGACATGGAGGGGCAACGGCCCGGACAGGAGAAGCGCGGGCAGCGGCATTTGCCGCCTCGTTGCCGGGCAGGCCCGAGTGGCCTGGGGTCCAGACTATACGAATGGGATGAGGGTTACAGCGCCAAGAGGCTGCCTGTAGTAGGCTAGCCGCCAGCGGGGCAATGGAACCCTGAAGGTACTGAGAACAGGCCGAGCGCGAGTCCGTCAGGATGGTGCGTGAAGCAGGGTGAGAGGCGGCCAAAGCTATGGCAACCTCTTCAGCGTGCGTTACTGTGTCTGCTCGAAAGGAGAGGCCATTTACGTGTTTGCCCTCTGTAATCACGGCAGCCGTGAAGTGACCCGAGGGGGAGGGACCCGAGACGTCCACGTAGAAAACACCAGGACGATCGGAGTGTCGCGTATGAAGGGCCGCGGCGCGTGCTAGTCTACGGCCAGGATGGAGGTCGGGGTTCATATTACGGGGTAGAGGTTCCACCCATAGCTTTTGACGCCAGAGCTCTGGTACCGGCTCCAGAGGGTCTTGGTCAGATATCGCGTTAAGGCCAAGTCTGTGTAGAAGACGGCGCCCTGAAGGCGTCTGCGACAGTCGATTGATTTGGTTAACGCGATGAGCTTCGCGCATCTCTGCAAAGGTGTTGTGTACCCCCAGAGCCGTGAATCGGCTGTTAGAAGTTGCAATAGGTAGGTCCAGAGCGCGTTTGTATACTGAACGAAGAAGGACGTCCAGCTGGTGCTCGTGTCGACGACGCAGGCGAAAGTAAAGCAAGGCGTAGAGGACGCGACTGGTCACAAACGCGTGGGCCAATCGGAGGGACTGAGACCCGCGGAGGCCGCCGCGCTTGGTAGACACTCGCCGTATCATGCGGCTCACCTGTTCGCTGGTGCGTCTGAGGCCTGATATTGTGCCCTTTGGATCCAAAGACGATGTGAGGTGAAGGCCAAGAACCCGAATATTTTGCACTGACGGGACGGGCCCGGACGGAAGAAAAATTTGAGGCGGCGGTAGCGGAGAGACTGAAAGAAGAGCCGATTTAGCTGGAGAGCACTCCAGGCCGCATGAACCTGCGTAGGTGTCCACCAGAAGGGCAGCCTTTCGCAGGCGTTCTTCGATTTGCGCTAAGGAGCCGGTGTTGGTCCAGATTGTGATATCGTCCGCATATAGTGCGTGTTGTATTCCCTCGACCTCGCTTAGAAGAGAGGGGAGATTCATCATCGCCAGGTTAAAAAGCAGAGGAGACAGGACTGCCCCTTGAGGTGTACCCCGCGTGCCTAATAAGTATGGGCCGTGTTCGGTAGAATTAAGGCGAATGAAGGCGGTGCGATGTGATAGAAAGGCGCGAATGTAGTTGAAAGTCTTCTGCCCGCAGTTTGTGGTAGACAGGTTAGTGAGTATAGTGCTGTGTTTGACGTTGTCGAACGCCCCGCGGAGATCGAGAGCGAGCACGGCTTTATCATTATGGCGCATAGTAGTCGGCTCTATGATATCGTGTTGAAGCTGGAGCAGGACGTCCTGCGCCGACAGATGTGGGCGAAAGCCAAACATCGTGTCGGCAAAGGTCCTCCTGGCCTCCAAGTAGGCGGAAAGGCGTTCGCGAACCATGGTTTCCATGAGTTTGCGTGCGCAAGACGTAAGTGAGATGGGTCTCAGTGCCTCAATACTAATGGACTTTGCC